TTGGGAGGTGTAGACTTTCTGGTTGGGATCCTCCGGATGGTAAACACCAAAGACAATGGCTAAAGACAATTAATGATATAGCTAAAAATTTTTCTCAATACCTGATGGAGATGCATTCACTCTTTGTGATTTATCATATCCAGTAAAATTCTATTGCTCTTCCGTATTACTGTTCTTTTTGCTTTACATTTCCGATTATTATCTCTCTTTTGAATCTCTTTTTACTCTTTTGCTTTGTGTGTTACAAGGAGAGAGTGTGGCGACTCGAACTGCTCCACATTTGTGCAAAGTTCCACGTTGAAACCAGTCAGTCAGTCAGTCAGTCAGTCAGTCAGTCAGTCAGTCAGTCAGTCAGTCAGTCAGTCAGTCAGTCAGTCAGTCAGTCAGTCAGTCAGTCAGTCAGTCAGCAAGGGACAGAATTTTTGTAAAGGGAACATTGTTCTTGTTTGTAATTCCAGATTCCCTTTTACTTAGACAACTAGTCAGTCTAAGTTTTGAAATACCATATTATTTAGTGCAATAATAATAATAATAATCAAAATACTGGTTTACATAAGCATTCTTCAACCCTTATGCTCTTCGTACACAGGTCAATAAGAAACACAAGGAGTTCATAGAACGGTGAAATTTTTAGAACCCAGTTTGTCTCATCTTATTTCAAGCTATCCATATTCTGACCAGTTGCTTGAGTGATGTGATGTGTGTGGTATACAGTTACTCATTTCAATCACTCAATAGTTTTTTTTTTTGAATTAGCTATTTTTCTTTTAGCTGATTGATTTATCTGCGAAGTTTTCGACATCGTTCTAGACAACATCTTCAAAGAACATAACACACTGATTCGAAATCATCCACTTCAGCTACAGATCTTCTCCATTATTGTTTTTTTTTACAATCCATAAGTTTACAGTGACATGCATCCATGTTTACTTCCTTAACAGTCATTTATGATATCAAGTAAATCATACATAATTCTGATGCGAATAATTCCAGTTTTCGTGGGAAACACTCTGATAAACTTTTTACCACAAACTGTGTAAACTGCAAACTTCTTCTATATTATTTTTGTTTATTAGACATATCACACAGTGGAGAGACGATGTTTCGAACAAAATTTATATCTGTTCAGAATTATATAAATTACAATCACACGACATCAAAACTTAAGTTCTACAGTTTCCTTTATTCTGTCTTATTTGTTGTAGTAGGGTTAGTAGAATTTTCTAGATATCTGAGTGGATGGGTGTGGAATCATTTGTATTATACGTGTTTTTAGTTGATTCAATAAATCAAGCTTCGGTTAGCAACCTTTCCCTCCACTCTGTTCAGTCATCATGGGATATGGGAATAGAACTCACAGTGCGGGAAGTAAAGCTATTTAGTGACCGTTGAATTGATTTTCTTATTTTTTGGGAATTGTTATTCAAGCTTCTTGGATGAATGTTAAATACGATATACTAGGGGGGTGGGTGGGTTAATTCAATGAGAAGATTTAAAAATCGATCACCGTTCAATCAACAGCATTTCTAATGGCATAAAATTTACAGGAGAAAAGGAATCAGAGAACGAAATTCAATTTTTAGATGTCTTGATCACATGAACAAGCACAGGAAAATTAGGATCTCAAGTATACAGAAAGTCATCTGGTACAGTTAAGATATTGACTTATGATAATAACAACCCTAAAGCTCAAAATAATTTGTATAAAGACATCACTCAAAAAATCAGGATACAGCACACCCCTTCAGCTTTTAGGTGACTAGAGGAGGAACATCTAACAAACACCTTCCAGAAAAGGGATGTTCATAAATTCCATATTAGTTTGTTTATTAGATGTATCACACAGTGAAACAGTATTATTTAATGGATGACGACGTTTTGAACAAAAATTACTGTTCATAATCATACCATCAATTCTGATCACACGACTTCGAAACTTCAGTTTTATAGTTCTCTTTATCTTCTCCTATTTGTCATCGTTGGGGTAGTAGAATTTTCCAGATGTCCGGGTGGAGGGGTGTTGAATCACTTCTATTACACGTATTTGCAATTGATTCAATAAATCAAGCTTCGGTTAGCAACCTTTCCCTCCACTCTGTTCAGTCATCATGGGATATGGGAATAGAACTCACAGTGCGGGAAGTAAAGCTATTTAGTGACCGTTGAATTGATTTTCTTATTTTTGGGAATTGTTATTCAAGCTTCTTGGATGAATGTTAAATACGATATACTAGGGGGGTGGGTGGGTTAATTCAATGAGAAGATTTAAAAATCGATCACCGTTCAATCAACAGCATTTCTAATGGCATAAAATTTACAGGAGAAAAGGAATCAGAGAACGAAATTCAATTTTTAGATGTCTTGATCACATGAACAAGCACAGGAAAATTAGGATCTCAAGTATACAGAAAGTCATCTGGTACAGTTAAGATATTGACTTATGATAATAACAACCCTAAAGCTCAAAATAATTTGTATAAAGACATCACTCAAAAATCAGGATACAGCACACCCCTTCAGCTTTTAGGTGACTAGAGGAGGAACATCTAACAAACACCTTCCAGAAAAGGGATGTCCATAAATTCCATATTAGTTTGTTTATTAGATGTATCACACAGTGAAACAGTATTATTTAATGGATGACGACGTTTTGAACAAAAATTACTGTTCATAATCATACCATCAATTCTGATCACACGACTTCGAAACTTCAGTTTTATAGTTCTCTTTATCTTCTCCTATTTGTCATCGTTGGGGTAGTAGAATTTTCCAGATGTCCGGGTGGAGGGGTGTTGAATCACTTCTATTACACGTATTTGCAATTGATTCAATAAATCAAGCTTCGGTTAGCAACCTTTCCCTCCACTCTGTTATATTAGATTTTAAAACTGTTATCTTACCCTATTCTATTTTATGGTTGTGTGTGATTGCATGTAGTGAGTGGTATGGCTGAAATATTCTCTAGATTTCTTATCTTATTCGAGTCGACTAATCTAGATTTTGCTAGATTTTTATGCTCGGCTAGTCTGACTGCCCCTGTTCTACTAGTTTGATCTATGTATTTGACCTGACAATCATTCCAGCAGGGTATTAGATAAACTTAATTGTTTTGTTTAGTAGGCTGTTTCACAGGATCCTTTAACAGACAAAGCCTGTTTCTAATTGAATTTGTGAGTGATTTGAATGCTAATTTTATTTCTTATGAACAATTCTTAACAATACAAGAATAAAAGTAGCATTCAAACCACCCATAAACTGAATTAGAAATAAGCTGTGTCGGTTAAAGGATCCTGTGGAGCCAATTAAACAAAACAATTTAGTTTAACTAATACCCTGAACGGGAGGAACCTGAAAGAAACAGCCTCCTTCACCTACCTGGGAAGCATCGTCTCAACTACAGGCGGAACTGACGAGGATATCAAAGCCAGAATCGGAAAAGCAAGACAAGCTTTCATTGCTCTCAAATCTGTGTGGAGGTCAACAGCACTCAGCATCAAAAATAAGATCCGGATTTTCAACTCCAATGTGAAGTTAGTGCTACTCACTATATGGATCAGAGATTTGGCGAGTCATAAAGAGCATCTCAAACAAGCTTCAGACCTTCATTAACAGCTGTCTTCGCTCAATACTCAAGATCAGATGGCCAGAAAAGATCAGCAACAGGGATCTCTGGGAGCGAACCAATCAGGAACCGATTGTGAAACAAATAGGCAGGAAGAAATGGAGATGGATTGGCCATACGCTGAGGAAACCATCAAGTGACATCACTAGACAAGCCATCGCTCGAGTGGAACCCGAAAGGGAGGCGGCGAGTTGGTCGTCAGTGCAAGGGTGACTTGGAGGAGGTCATGAGAAGAGGAGATGAAAGCATGTGGACAGACCTGGAGCGGGGTGAAAAAGTTGTCAGAAAACAGAATGCAATGGAGGTGCGCAGCTGAAGCCCTATGTTCCTCTAGGAACTAAAGGATACAATAATAATAATACCCTGAAATGATTAGAGGGTCAAATACATAATGGAAATGATTCAACACCTGTCCACCCGGATATCCAGAAAATTCTACTACCCCTATGACAAATAGGACAGAATAAAGAAAACTACAAAACTCAAGTTTTGAAGTCTTGTGATTGTGACTGATATGATGATGTGAACAACAAATTTTGTTAGAAACCTCATCATCGTATAAATAATACTGTCTTGCCACTGTGTGATATATCCAATAAACAAATTAACATGGAATTACATACGACCATGGCGTTCAGGTTTAACACATAGATGCAAATAGCTTCAATTTAGCTGCTCACTGAAGTGGCTTAATTTCATAATAAAGTTTAACTTGTTTCTAAAAAGCATCTTCAAAATCAACATTTGTGTGTGTGTGTATGTGTGGTTTTACTTCATTCCTTGTGTTCCAGAAATGGAGCATAGGTCTTCGAAGTTCTAGCCTTTGGAATTTCAGTAACACGGTGGTATTGTTTCCTATATTATTTCTACAGGTTGGAGCTACAAGCATCATACAAAATCTTTTCCCCTTTCCGAACTTATTAGCAATTAAGTAAACTGGTCAATGTTTCAGAGTATATCAGCTAGGAATCAGACTCGAACTATGTGAGCATTCTATCACAGAATGATTGGTGGTGAAATTGTAGAAGGCGAAGACTTCATAAACGAATGTTTATATGGATATTAGTATCGCCGTAACGCCAAATTATGTACACCTTACTTTCAAATCACCATATGTACACAGATCTTCGTATTGTGGTACTTCTGGCCTTAATATTGTGTTTATTTGTGTTCCTTAGCGCGTCTCTAATGTATCTCCGCAACTCTGTATCTCAGTAGCCTTCTCTGACATCAAATGTATTTCCCTGCTATTTGATGTTGTTTTTTTTGCCAACGAATGTCACTTCATATACTACTGATAAATCTTATCAGTAGCACTCACCACAGCGTACCTCAAATATACAAATAAGAACGTTAAAAAAAATGTTTCAACACTTACATTACATTGCCATCCATAATAATTTATTTGTTTTTGCTTCTCTTTTAGATAAAATTGTATCCAATTGTGTAATCCCAATACTTTTTATCTTTAATTTCACCAACAAATACATGCTCAAAAGCTGATGAATCATTAAGGCTATTCTCGTCAACATATACATGCATATATGCATATATTTATTCAATCAGTTGTGTTATTTTATTTGATCCCATTGTATAAGCAGATCGTTTTTGCACAACATCGGAAGTTTAGCCAAACCATTGTACACATAGCCAAAAGGAGTTTTAAAAGGGAAAAAAGTAAATAGAAAAACAGTCGTAAGTATTTTTCATCAGAATATAAGGCATTTACAGTAGTTTTACCATATAAGAAGGGGACATATGAGACCCCTCCCTATGTAGGATTATTAACAAAGCGGGAATTAGGGTGGCATTCAAGCCTACAAACTCATTTAGGTAGAACAAGTTCTGCAGGCTAAAGGAGACTGTCGGTGGACCAAATCAAACAAAATAATATAGTTTAAAAAATACCTTACAATGACTGTGAGTGAGGTCGACTATATAGGTCAGATTAGTAGATCGGGAGTAGTGAGATAATCAGAACATAAGAATTTAGCTAAGGTTAGTTAAGTAATTTAGAAAAAACTCAGCTATAGCACTGATTGCATTAACACACAACCACACAGTAGAGTGGGAGACGATTAAAATTCTAAGAAGTAATATAAGTAGATGGAGAGAGATTGATTACTGAATCCTGCCTGGTTCGACACATGCAGCAGAAATGACTCAACGCAAATACCAGAGACATGGAAAATATTATTACCACCAGTCGAATGAGGGGAGGATAATAAATAATCTTAAGATTCTATTTCGATTCACATACTTTATAACATTCTAAAAAGTTACTTATTTTTGCTGTAAAAAAAGCATCTTATTTCCCAACTGATTGTATTTGATTGATAACACTAATATTATTTCCGAATGTACTTTACCTTATATTGATTTTATTCAAATGTCTAATCCTCAATTTTTACTCATGTATATAAATGAAGCGAAAAAATTGTGTGAGTAGTGGCTTGTGAGTCGGTGGCACAGTAGTTAGGACTCTCACCGACCATGCACATGGCCCGAGGTTCGATCCCCTGCCGATGCACACCTGATATCTATGGTTGGCCTGCGAATTTTGGGCTACCAATATCCATGCTGAAAATTTCATACTTGTATCAAGAATACAGTGTGGAATCAAGCTGTAATCACAAATATTAAAAAAATAAATAAAAATATGATTATAAGCAGCAATAAATTGTGCTCGAAACGTGGTGATCGGTAAATATTTCTGTATAACACTGTGTGTGATTTATCAAAATAAAATCTTATCCATAATGGAGTTATACTCTCTCACAGTGCCCAAGTTTTATACTTATATAAGTAATCTTCTGACGAAATTTAAATTAAACCACATCTAAGAGAGGAGGTGCCGTGTAGTTTACACTTATGGATCTTCACCTAGTCATAGCAGTCAAGGAAAATAACAGTGGATTCGGCGAATGAAATCAAATTAACGATTTTCAAGTTAATTCACCATTCTCAATCTATAACAAATAGTTCATGTCAATTAGGAGTGTTTGTTAGATGGCTCAACTGTTTCACTTGTTTGGTTGCTGAGTCCATCGTCGATGTTTTAGGTTCAATATAGCTCAGTCAACAGAATCAATTCAAATCATTTGAATATAATCCAATCTGTCGCACACGTACCATCACAGATCAAGAGGGTTTCAAAATTTCATATAACCTACGTGAGTAGCTTCACTATCATTACCGTTTCATTCTCATCATATTCAGGTATCTGAAGTTTGAACTCATTCGAGGCAATATATTAAATGGGTCAGTAAGGTTAAAATTGGTTGAATGCTAAACATCCTTTCAGGTGAGGCTTGATTCTAGAAATCTAATGAATATGTGAAGAATAAGACAGAAATGATCGGGGAGTAAATTACACAGATTTTACAATGAATAAAGAATGATTTTCAAGTATTGATTTTGTTGGGAATTTTTATGATTGGTTGGAGGACTTCATCATGTTCCCCGAATCAGTCAGAGAACCATTAGAAAACCAACTTGGAGTACTGGACAGTTGTTTCGTCAGCTTAGTTTGGGTCTCTTCATCATTGCGTACCCACCGAGTTTCAAACCCATGACTTTCTGATTACAAGGTGAGCTCGTAGACCATGGGTCCCAGTAGCTTAGTGGTCTACAATGAAATGCTGATGATGAAATCCTCCAACCAATCAAAGAATGATTTTATCAGTGATAATAGAGTTATATGGCTTCAAGGGATAGGTGCCTTAAGTCAGACAGTAACCTCCATTATGGCAAAAGATGTTATTTTAAGCATTTCAAACAACCTTCAGACTTTTATCAACATCCGTATTTGCTCCAAACAGAATATTAGATGACCATAAATAACTCTGACGGGCGAAAATCCAACCAAGAATCCAGAGTGCAAGAAAAATCCGGGAGAAAATGGTGGCGGGTGGACACAAGCTTAGGAGACCGTTGAGTGACATCGAGCTAATGGACAGTTATGGGGCTAGCTGGAGAGAAATGCAAAAAACAAGATGAAATGGAGACATGCTACTGACTACCTGTATTCCACTTAGAACTTAAATAAGTAGGAATAATATAAATTCTGGCAGACCGAAAGGCAGTCAAGCCAGTCTGTGGTTAAGTTGGACAGTGCTTTAGTATCGAAATGGGAATGGGTACTGATTTCGAGCTTACTTTGCAACTGTTATGCACAATTTCTGCTATTGCTTTAGGAATGTTGTCTACCAGCCTCATGTGTTCACTCTCAGCACCTCAAAAGTATAGTTTGAGTCAAATTATTCCATTTATTACTCATTACTGCATTTATCAAATAGCAGACTTATTCATTGAAATTTTGAGACGACTTTGTATACTACTGAAATACTTTATTGATTAGTATATATTGTATTTCAACATTTTTGAGAATGGTTAAAACAAAAAAATGAAGAGCTCAAATTTTCTCATGCGTGAATAGGTATATGTATAAATCTATAAACAAATAATAAACTATGTTGGCCATATTCGTAACCATATTCTTTATATAACTGTATACATATATGAGCTGCTGTATTTAAATTGTTTCACGTTCATGTCATATTAGTTGATAGTGACTGTCAGTAGAATTCAGGATTCAATTTTCATTCCATTAAGGACTCGTCACTGTATGATATGATTATGAGCAATAGTTTGTGCTCCAAACGTCATCAATTAATATTACTGTACAACACTGTGTGATTTATCAAAATAAAATCGTATCCATAATGGAGTTATACTCTCTCACAGTGCCCAAGTTTTATACTTATATCAAAAATACTTGCATAAATCCAGCACTAATTTGTTACTAATAAAATAGATGTCAATAACTTGGCTCTAAAATATTCGTAAGTAGTTTTTTAATCCCTAGATCTTGTGTTATGGAATTCCTAGTGATCGATTATCTTGAGCAGGAATACTTAGTGTTTGTTGACATGTCGGTTTCTAATATGGAAACCTAGACAATGCTTTAAGCCGGAGATGATGTTATTTGTTCGTTTGGTTGAGATTAGCACTGGTATCGCGGGCACTCTTTTCTTTCTCGAGGAGTCATAGTCTTCCCAATGAAATTCAACCCCAGCACCCATCATTTCAGGCTCAGAAGTGTTACTGGTTAATGACAGCCACCGCTAATGTCACGAATGTCACTAGTTATTTATTTATTGATGTGTGAAAAAAGAATGGATACGAGGTTTGGGTAACATGAAGGCCACCATCACTCACGGGCAATGTAGCTGACGGCTCAACAGAACGACGAAAAGCAAGTCACACATTATACCACTGCTATGTACCAGGAACAATAGTTCTCTGTCTGACTTAGGTCTCTAATCGAACTTTCTTTTTTATTCCTTAACGTTTCTACTGAAACATACGGCTTCAAGCTAGAGGCTTGAAGTTTCACTAGCTGTGGTGTTTATTTTTACGAGATGGGATTTCTAGCGTCATACCCAGCCTTCCCTGCTTACCAGTCTTATTAATGGCTTAGCAAGGTAAAGGAATGTGTCGGCCGGGGATCGAACTCCAAACCACATGAGGCGTGGTTGGCGAGCATTCTACCGCTTCGCCACCGACGCAGTACCCAAACTTGAAACAAACATAATCCTTAAGAAGGAACTCATGAAAATTAATATGACTCTGGTTAGTGACTGGCTTTAAGATTATGTTACCAAGACTTCTAGTGTGAGAAGACGTGACCAGTGGAGTGCATCAGGGAGAGTGTCAGGACAAATACTCTAGCCAATGGTATTAGCTGGCAGTCACAAATTTGTAGAAGTTAAAATTTACAGGTCACTGGATTCTGATGCATATGAGTGAATAATCAATGGGCTTTTCTTCGTAACACATGAATGTCTTGGCTACTATCCCCATGATCAACACCATGTTTTAAGTTATTTATGGAAATTATCAATTTTTCTATCAGTAGTTAAGAAAAATAGAAGATAATTATATTCATCATTCAATGTATGACAAATAAAGTATTGGCTTTTGTAGGGATTTTGTTTGATTGGTTGGAGGATTTCATCATGAGCTGACATCTGACGCACCCTAGTGACTGCTCCTAATTAGGCATCGACCTGGTGTTTTAGTGAGAAGCAGTGCCCAGTATGACGTAGCAGAATGAACATGAGGCAGTAACTCAAAGAAGAAGACAGTGCAAAGTTGTCGCGCTACGTCATGAATTGGGAGAAGTTGGGAATCATGGGCTGGTCATTGGATCGAGTCTCAGTGGCTTAATAGTCTACGAGCTCGCCTTGTAACCAGAAGTTCATGGGTTCAAACTGTGGCGGTGGGTGCACACTGATGAAGAGTCCCAAACTAGGACGACACAATTGGCTGCCCAGTACTCATTCCCAAGTTTTCCAATGGTTCTCTACCTGATGTCAGCTCATGATGAAATCCTCCAACGAAGAAAGTAAAACAAAAAAAATGATAGCCAGTGAATTAACTAACCGTTTTCGTGTATACTTTTTAAACCATATTTTCTTGAAAAATTCTTTAAAACTATCCATATCACCAGATATTTTTTGTTTCTCCAAAAGATATTCATAAGTCATTTTCATAATTTTTGTTTTCATTAATTCTTCAATAAATTCATCTTCTTCTTTTATTTCTTCTTCAGTGACATTTTCAGTAATACCAACTTGTGGACAATAATTGTCTAGTAAGGCGATGAACTCTAGAAATGTAAATAACGGTATCATTGAGGTATGTTTAGAGTACGTGGTATTGATTAAAAAGAAAAAGAAAAGATGGCTAAGTTAAACTTTAAGCACCACTAACTACCAATCAGCGAATGACTTCGAATAGTCCAATGAGGTTCATCCACGTGAATTCAAGGTTGTATTTCTCTTGATTCGTGTCAAATGCCTGCTCTAACGAAGTTACGCTTTCAGTTCGATGAGGATAAGGTTTCGCAGTATTGCGTGGATGTAGGGTTGATTGGGAAGGAGAGGACTTGTGTTCATATGGAGTTTAAAAAGCTTCAGCAGGTCGATTGATGGATATGTCCATTAGTTGTGCAATTTGCTTGAGACGAGTTAGTACTAGGGAAGGTAAGCTGATGATTTTAATATTTCGTTGGAACATTTATTGCTAGGTCACATCTCTCCGTAACCCAGATTTTGTACATTTGTAATTACTGAGTTTTAAAGCAGCCTGTGAGAGGCACAGCTGCATGAAACTGAAAATAGCCTTGTATCAACAGTTCAATGGTACCAGCACTGCAGAGATATCGATTCATTGAAAATGGAGAGAATTATTTCTTTGCTAGGTGGGTAAGATGTCATCGTACACGTGGACAAAACTGTCATATTGAAGAAAAAATGTAACCATAGTCGTGAGCAAGCCAACGATATTTGGGTGATCGGTTTATATAACATCTCCTTGAAGGAAGGATTCGTAGAGAGAATGCAGAATACAAAGAGCATACAGAAAAGTCTACTACCTTAGTACCTATTATCACTCGACATACAGATAATTGGAGGTTATAACTAGCTATCATCCCTTGGATAGATTTATCCCAGAGTGAACCACTCTAGTGATTCTGTGGATCACATCACAGGGACACACATGAATTCTATAGAAGGATTTGGGGAAGATTAAAAAATAGTATTAGGGCCATAAATGGATCTTAAAAGAATCTCATTTATAGTCATTTGAATGAACAGATGTACAGAATTTGGTGTAACTTTCTGTTGACACTCCTATGCTAAACTGGGAGATATTTCTGTCATATGTTAGAAAAAGATGCCCTATGTAACGATTATATGCAGTTTTTGTGCTTTTTTAGTAAATGTATGTTTTCTATAATCGAAAATCCCTCTTTCGTGTGATTGGTCGTTCGTTGAAGGTCGTTCGCTGATAGGCAGTTAGTGGTTCTTAAAGTTTAACTTTGCCATTCATGTTTTCAATAAACCTGAATCAATAATATCAACAGGTTAAAGAGTTCAAAAGTGCCAATATAGCACTAAACTGAATGTAGAAATAAAAAACAGAAATTATAGGTCCCACAGCTGGTCAAGTGAGTCAGTAGTTCACCAGTAGAAGGCTTGTCAACCATGCCTCATGTGGTCGAGGGTTTGATCTCTGACCGGTGCACTCCTAAACTACACTCAGCCGGTAAAGAGGTGAGGTTGGGGCGAGTTTGAGCATTATGCTAGAAACATTAATCTGTAAAAGTAAAACTGAAACTTCAGAGCTCCAGCTTGATACCTTATATTCCACTAAGAACTTAAAGGATCAAAGAAAAACAGCTGGATGGCCAAGGTAGCAGTAGTGGCTGGACTCGTTTCTTTTGCACACAGGGCTCCGGTTATTCATTCTGAGCCAATTCCAATGGCTTTTGACAATTTATTTAGTACCACAGAGATGACAGGAAAATGATTCTTCAACACTGGCCTTGTGACCTGTTTGGACGATGCGATCTAATATAGAACTGTTGATGGCTTTTGTACTACACCTTGATTTAGCAACACTGGTAGTTAGGTATTCCCGAGCATGAAAACCCAAGTTCCTAGAGCAATGGTCAATGTAACCGTCTGCACAGGAATAGTTGAAATGATAGGCAGTTGGAGAATCACAACCAGTTGCAAAAATTTCTTCGAATAGTTTTCCTCAACTTATTGGTTGTTATTTATTTACTTGGTGCACCATCTTTGAACTGTAGTCGCATACACAGAGTTTTGCTATTTACAGATAAAGAACATTACTTTTTGACTTCCTTGACCACGTGTTATTTTATAGTTTTATTCAATTTTCAATTAACGCGCCACATACAGTCTTAAATTGATTTTTAGTTACATCTTCCAACCATATAGCTGCAACTATGCAGCTGAATACACTTTGTTCACTAATGAGTATTTTGAACTGTTTAGTTAGCATCGTTAACCATTTTTGAAATAGATGTTAAGAAACATCAAACAGCTTTAAGTAAACAGATATCTGGTGACGATTATACATTCTGAGTTAAGCGAATCCAAGTGTAAGTATGATTACTGATATTTAGAACTATTGGTAAGGAATGCGGAGATTTAAACACATGAAATAATAATCGGCTAACAACCGGTTATCGCATACACTGGTTTACACTGCCGTGCAATAAGCATTAATAGGTACTTGGTGTTCATGTCCGGTATATTAGTCAAGTAAAAACCACTGATATAGATCCTAAAGCCCAATAGGTTTTTGACTTCAGTCACCACTGCTTTACATCAAAATAAACAGCCAAAATAATCAGAATATTTCACATAGTCTGACAAATAATCCATATTTCCTTTACAAGTCTTGGTTTTTCAGGAATTTGATGGATCTAAACTTAGATCACGAAATGACAGGAATTAAGAAGTGGAAATCATGCAGTGTTGGACAGTCAGCTGTTAGATCATAATTTGAGACTAGTCAGTAGTATGCACCTAAGACCTTACCGGGTGTCAGTTTATAATCTGGCTTGATCTCCTTCCTCATTTCCTCTCTTTGGACCTTCCAGTAGCGTTGATTTGTTCTTAGGATGTAGGGTTCCACGCCTCACTCTCAAACTCCCCTCTTTTCTGAGCTTACTAGTGGCTAGTAAGCTAATCAAGGTTTACGAGTGTTTCAAATTCCTGCAGAAGAAGACTTGAAAATTAATCTGATGCACAATAGTGACTGACCACAGAATGGAATGTCTGAAGTTCCTGTGAGATTTCGTGATCAATAAGTTCATCAAGTCATGTGTGAGGACACTGACTCGCCAATGACTGTGAGTAGCGGTCGCACTGTACATGATGAATTTGCAGAGGTTAGAATTCATACACCATTGGATTCGAAGCTAGTATCTTAGTGGTCAGCCAGCTCGTCTCTTAACCTGAATTTCCCGTAAGGACATGGGTTCATACAGCTGGATAGTCTAAAAGAAAGTGGGTAGAATGACCGTTCATCATATTATAAACATCTCATCAATTAATTGAATCCTTGAAAGTTAGTTATAATTTATTCAGGTATATGAACTTTTAATAGTAGTCAGAAATCAATATTAGTTAAATGTAACATTTCTGTTAGAAAAAGTAACAACAACAACAACAACAACACCCAGGGTAGAAATATTCAAACTATTGTTTAGTTATTATTTCACTCATTTAACAATGGCATTAGTTACCATTTATATAAGGTCATATAGATTATGACCAGATAGTATATGCTTAGCATAACTTATTCTTTATTCAGTAGTGGTTTTAGAAAACACGCTAATATATCGCTAGTAGTGCACATCTTTTTGAATTTCATGCTAATAATTTTGCTTAAAACAGTAATATTATTAAAATTGTAATAAAGGTCAATTAATTTAATCACCTAACTCATAGAAAGTGTTACGGTTATTTTTTAATCCAACGAGATGCAAAAATAAGAGATCACGTTTGTACTACTTATCATTTTGGTTAATACTCATTAAGTTCATCCTAGTTTGATCTTATTTAACGAATCATTAAGCATAATCTAGTTCAATTTATGAACTTGTGAGGTGATGTATCACTTTAATCCTACTCATTTTGTATTACGAAGTATCTACTTAATAGGTATTTCTCATAATCATATTAACAATTGTAACTACACAACTTGAATATCATAATTGTCTTCCTTCCATTTTCGTTTATCTTTGGGGTAGTGGAATTTTTCAGGTGTCTGAGTAGGGAGATGTTGAATCATCTCCTATTCTATACATTCTCAACTGATTCGATAAATTAAACTTCAGTTATCAGTCTCTCTCCTCACCGGATTACATTTGACTTAAAGACTGCCATGTTGTTGTTTTATTTCGATTGTGTGACAGTGTGTAATTTCATGTACTGCTATCACTGTTTGTCTTTTTAGATGTCTTCCTCTCTTTCTTTTTATTCCTATACATTCCCACTGGAACATAGGACTTCAAGCTAGAGGCTTGAAGTTTCAGTAGCAGCAGTGGTGTTTATTTTTACGAAATGCGATTGCTAGCCTCATGCCCAACCTTCCCTTCTTAACAGTCTTAATAATGGCTTAGCCAGGCATAGGAGTGCGGCGTTGGCCGGGGAACGAACTATGAATCGAATGAGGCGTGGTTGGTGAGCATTATAACGCTCTGTGTAACCAAAGCACATCTTCTCTTATTAGTGTCAACTAATCTAGATTATGCTAGGTTTTTGTGCTCTGTCGATCTGACTGACCCAACTCTGTTACTCTGGGTATTAGATGAACTAGGTTATTTTGTTTAGTGATCTCCACAGGATTCTGTGGGTTTGAGTGCCAATTTTATTCCTGCTTTGTTAGGAATTCTACTTTAGGCGTCAGAGATTCCCTCTTTGTATAGAAGCATCACACTGATATTTTAAATCCCCCTATTATTTGTGTTGTCATCTTTCTAAGTATGTTTCTCATGCATGTTTTCCTTATTATTGTCAACACTGTTAATTAATTTTAGCCCCATAATTTCCTAAATACTTTCTGATTGATTTGTCGAGGTATACCCTAACTTTCTGTCATAGATTTTCTCTGGTTATATAAGCAATAAACAAATTAATTTGGAATTACATCTAACCACAGTGCCCAAGTTTTACACATACTTATACATAATTATTTTTACTCTCATTTATTTTGAAATGAATTGTTGAAAGTGTTTATTTCTTTTCTGAGTTCCATTGGCAGAACGAACTTGCCTTTTAACCGGAAGATTCGAGGTCTGAACCCTGGCGATGAGTGCTGACCACTGATGAGTTCGAAACTAGAACAAAGCAACTGTATAGTACTCTCCGGTTTCCAGTAGTTCTCAAACTTACATCGATATGCGGTTGAACTTGATACAAATCAAAATCCCTATACACAAACTCTTGAATATGTTTTGGCGTACTTCATCTTTTTAAATTGACTGTAACTCAGGTGTATAAATTTCCAAAGGACAATGATCGAACGATATAGAAAAAAGTTACTACTTAGTTATACTTCAGGCAAACACTAGTAGCACTTATGAGAACAATTTTATCAAGAAATAAATAAATTTATACTTTTATCAAGCTATACTTTCTTTCTTTTCTTATTTTGTGTGTATTTTTGTGATTAGAATTTTAAGTACAATGATTGTTTTGCAGGTAATCATTTGATTTGATAAAAACACGCTCATGTGAGACGATTATAAACAATGACTTGTGTGCTCGAAACATCAGCAGCATATGGATTCCGTATCACTGTGTGTTCTTAACAAATAAAACTATTTTGATTGGACATTATTAACTAGCGTGGTGTGTCTAGTCCTGTCTTTGGTACTGACGAATGCCAGCTAGCACGAAACCTAGCTCCAAATCTTCCTCTGGCTGATTGCTCCAACAATCTAATATAAACAATTCACAGCGCACTGTAATGGCGAGCTACTAGAATGGTGACCACATTGCAAACTTGACTAATAGAATTCAATCTGCACCTGAAACAAAATTAGACACAGCACACTAGTCAGCAGCTAGTGTCCAATCAAAGTATCCAATACAGGAGATCAGTCGTGAGCCTGAATAGCTCAGTGTGGTAACGTCTCTGACTGCAACACTTCACTGAGTGACACGGGTTCCAGTCTCAGAAAGGACATGAGTTCCTTTAAGATTGCAGATACGCCTTGCTGACTGGTGAGTGCCAACTAACACGAAACCTATGTCCAAGGCTTCCTGCTGATTGCATCCAAATCATGTAAATGAAACTATTGTATGATGGAATAATTTCATTTTATTCTCTTGCATTCTGTTTGAAATATGGGACTCACAGCTTCGGCTGTGGTTTTATTTTTTTAGGTCATGTCATTGCTAGAATTATGCCCAACCTTCCCTTTTTGTAGAGCTTGCTACCGGCTTAGAGTGGCTTAGGAGTGTATTGGCCGGAGACAGCACCCCGACTATGTGAGGCATGGTTGGTGAGCAGTCTACCGTTGAGATACACAACTAAAAATGTCCAGCATTCTTTATTAACAACTTTTCACAAGGACAAGTGCAGGTACATCCAGATGACGAGTCCAAATAGGACGAAATGCGCATCCTGAATTCCACTGCTAGCCACCATCCACCAATTGTAGACAAGTGAAACGCTTATAAATATGTATAAAAATCGTCAGTGACAGTGTATTCATAATTTATAATTGGGATTGTAAAACATACTTGCAAATGTAGGCTTCTTCTTGAGTACATCTTCATTCACATATTCAAATAACGGTTTTGGAGCCTTATCCTGTGATTGTGTCGATCCAGAAATATGACCTATTCAAAATTAGAAAAAATAAGCTTGATCAGATTATAAAATGTTATAAAGCAAAAGAAATGTAACAAAAATATATCGACTTTATTTTGAAGATTCTACTCTCTAGAAATAGATATCAAACTTTTGGTATTCATAAAAAGTCTTTTAATAATATTATTTACTTCCTTGGGTTCGTAACTGAGCATAGCGGTTCAACAACACACTGCTATTTCATCCAGTTCTCTGGAGTCTTTTCCAGTCGACCTCACGACTGCTCATAAGCTTTCATGGTCACTATGTCACTTCCACCTGATGTTTTCCTACTCTAATCTTAATCAAGGGCATGGCTCATCGTTTCACTCAAAAACCGCAAAGTATATCCAACCTATCTTCAATTTCTCCTGCATATGTTTTTGGCAAATGGCTCTCCAGGAGTCTGGTTTACGAGTTTCACCACGGATTGATATCACTTAGAGAACCATTGGAAACCTGGAAGTACTGGGCAGCTGCTGTTTCATCCTAGTTTGGGAATTATCGGCAGTATGCACCCTCCGCCACGGTTCGAACCCAGATCTTCCAGGTACAAGGCAAGCTCGTACACCATTCAGTCACTTGGACCCGATTCAGTGGCCAGTGCATGAATAGTATACGAGCCTCCTTTGTAACTGGGGGGGGTCCTGGGTTCGATCGATGGCGGTGGGTGCATACTGACGATGATTCTTAAACTAGGCTGAAACAGCTGTCCAGTACTCCATGGTTTTCAATTGGTTCTTTGTTGGTTCGTTGTCTGCGAGAATTTCTTGTTGTTTATCTTTTCTCACTAGCCATCTAATACTTAGTATAGACTAAAGATAGCTGTTAACGAAAGTTTCCAGTAGTTAGCATGAAATGCTTTCGGTTACATATCAAGTTTCTGAACTATATAGAAGCACTAACTGATCTGACATTAATTTTGAAGATTCAGATGTTTTTCCTCAAGCTGATTGCATCATCATATGTATACATATATGCACACTTTCAAAGATTTCCAAAAGATAACTTTTCAATGCTTCATAAACCATTGGGCCTATGGCTTTATATTCCCATTATTAGTCTGTTGTTTTAATAGTCACTTGCATTGAAGCTATGCGAATGCCTTTTTTTTATTACAAAAAACCAATATTAGCTTTGAGCGCCATATTTTAATCTCTGTTCAACTTGAAACGATCTTTGTAGAGTTAGTTGACTTGAATTGTAGGATAGGATAAAGGAAAAAGCTGCATGAGTTTGAATGATTGAATCAAGAAAATGTTCACAGTTAAAAGATTTCATCATCCTATAATGCTAAATTTTTATTAACCAAGCTGGATAGTCTTCAGCAAAGCATTTCCGAATAACACACCTACAATGTCAAATGTAATCAACTCATCAAGATCACGTCAAAAAGTAGATATAAATAGGAATTCACTTATTTTAAAATCTTTTGAAAGTTTTTCGTATTTCATCTAATAAAACAACTCTACCCTTATGATGGAAAAGAATTGTAGTTTAGGTGGATGATTTTGATGTAGCTGAGTTGTATGGTTTATTTGCAAAGCTTTCATTGCCCTGCTAGGCAACATCTTCAGCGCATACTTCAATTGAAGGAGCTTTTACATTTCTCCACGAGTTTATTAGTCATATCTCCTAGTAACCTTGAAGCTGATTGGATATTTTTGCTGTAAAACAAAAACATCCAATCAGCTTCAAGGTTACTAGGAATATGACTAATAAACTCGTGGAGAAATGTAAAAGCTCCTTCAAATTGAAGTATGCGCTGAAGATGTTGCCTAGCATGGCAATGAAAGCTTCGCAAATAAACCATCTAGCTGCGAGAAGACAACTACATAAAAAACTCCACCCGTTCCAAATAGTGTGTTAATTATCTTTACTATTATCATATATATTATAACCGAACAATTTTTAATGCTAATTCATAGTGTTTTTCACAATATCAATACGACTGTACAGCTAACCTTAAAAGAAGTCATTCTGAAAAAATGTTTTTTCAAAAACTGGAGAAAATAAAAGCGCTTTTCCCTCTTAATTAAAAAGTGGGTGTAATTTTTTGAAAGTTTAAATAACTTAACGAATAAGAGAATGGTGCATCAGTGGCACGGAGGTAGAATACTCACCACGCCTCATGTGGTTCGGGGTCCATTCCCCGGCTGACTCACTCTTTTACTTCACTAGGCCAGTAATAAGGCTGGTAAATAGGGAAGGTTTAGCATAAGGCTGGGAACCCCATCTCGTCAAAATAAACAACACTGCTACAGAGACTTCAAGCCTCTAGCTTGAAGTCGTATGTTTCAGTGGGAACGTAAAAGAACAAAAAAAATATTTTAAAAATTGACACAATGGGAGATAATCAAGCACAGTTATCAGTCTGTGTGTACAATTAAATGTTGCTTGCTATAGTAATCATTAACACTCTAAGCTGCTTGTTAATTATGCTTTACTGCTATCAGTATGTACCTTTTGAGGACAAAATTTAAATGTTGCTCAATAAAAATTGTTAGGGATTCATAACAATAGTGATAAGTAGAACAAAATATTTTTTGATTACAAATGAAATAAATACCTTGTAGGTTCACTAAGTAATCTTTACCGCTTACAGCTGCATTTTCATCTGTATGATATAATTTTGTGAAAAATTCACTCAATTCATGATCTACGTTGTCATGGTGACTAAAGTGAATGAAGACAAAAAGAAAAATAGTATGAACAGACAAATAATTAATTGATTAATAATGCATGAAGTAATGCAGAAACATTAGTATTTAGAAATGATACAGAGTCTATGATCATCAAGACAAACAGTTGTGTCATTCACAATGAAATGAAATTTTTTAAAAGACCAGATATCTATCTATAACCTTTGTGTTAATTTCCTAGAACTTCCACATACAACTTATTCATCAGGGTATTCTGGAAGCACCAGAGTCTTATATGATCTATTTATTGAATCGCCAACTGAATACTTGAAAATGTTGCCTAAAAAGGTAATGAAAGTTTCATGAAGAAACCATCCAACCAGAGAACACGATGATATCAGTAATAATACTCTTGTTATTACCAGCTAGTTGACACCAAATCATTCCTTAGACTGTAGGGGAGACATTTTCTGTCAAGGTACTAATTTAAAAAATCAGAGTGAAATATGATGCTTGGTTTATGATTATTTTTCCCTTGGGTTCATAGTGGAACATAGGTCTTGAACAACGCATTTCCACTTTCTTTTATTTCCTGCTATCCTCTGCAGTTAAGTCCACGATTACCCATTATCTCTCATCTATCTTAACTTGCCATACTATCTCCTCCATGTCACCCTAACACTGACGACCCACCTGTCGATTCCCATTTCGCTCTAGTAATTGTCTGCATTGTAAGCAATGTCATTCGACAGCCTCCACAGCGTATGCCCGACCGATCCATCTCCATTTTCTCCCATATATTTGTTGAGAAATAGCTTTTTTTGTTGGTTTGTTCCCAGCCAAAGTTTCTCGTTACTAATTCTTTCTGGCCACCTGTCCTTCAGTATGAAGCCAGCAAAGGTAGCGGCTGCTGATAAAAGCCTGCAACCTGTTGGAAATCCTTTGCCTAACACGCTGGCCAGGTTTCTGACCAGTTCACAAGAACTGACTGACTTCACATTTGTGTTGAAAATCCGAATCTTGTTGTTAATGCTGGCTGAGTGATAGCAGAAGATTTCCAAACTGATTTCAGGTTGATGAAAGAATATCTTGCCTTTCCGATTCTGGGCAGCTTTGACATATTTATCCATTCCACTCTTAGTTGAAAAGATGCTTGGTTCATTCAAGTTTAATTAGGCATATGTGGACGGTAACTTTCATAAGACGTTAGTTTAGGCAAAGAACGAAAATACCCAAAGGGCTGGTTACTTACACTGCATTATTGACTACTTCTGCTCATTGATTTTTAAAATTTTGCTAGTTTTATTATGTTGTATGACTTAAGTAGATATTCAGTGACGTCCAGTCATGAGTTGCCTCTTATGCAGCGCTAAACTCTCCAGGATAAACATTGGTACACCACCATATGTTTAACAAATATTTTAGCAGTTTCCATCAGTGAAACACTAAACGTTTATCAGTTGACTAACTCTGCCTATTGCTTCTTGTATAACAGCTTCACACTGTTCACGATTCTGTCTTTACCTAAAATAACAATGCTTCACTTCAGGCAGTTCATTTTCATTTGATATAATTCATCCAGTTAAGACACCAACAGCTTCTACATATCCTCTTTACCTGACGGGCAGTTTAATATCAAAGCTCTGTTATATATGAGATGGTCTATACTGTCTACTTGCTTCACTCATAGCCATATTGTATGCTTTAGATTTTTGCAGAAACCTCTTGTCCTTATTCGAAGACTATTCTTCAACCGGTACACAGCTTCTGCTAGTAGACACGACTCTAACAGTGAACGATTCTATGGATTACATTAATAATTTGTAGCCGTGGACTTTAACTGTGTATCCAAGTAACCGTTTAAGTAATACAACTGATTACAGTGTTTTTTGTAATATATTGTCATACTATCATCTCATTACCTTGGATTTTTATTCGCATACTTGTCATGTTATTGAGCTCGCTAGACAGTGCCCTACAGCAGTTACAATCTGTTGTCTCCCTGGAGAACTCTGGTTAGGGAGAGGAGGAATTATTGACAATGGTTTTCCCTATATCCATCAAACACCGTCTTTATACTGCCTCATATTCACAGGATTTCGATAGGACTTTGTTCATGCTAGTACAACATACACTGATACAAGGTGAATACTTACTAAAGTAAATGTGTTCAAATGGGCTAATTTCCGCTGATGCACATTTCCTTTTAACACTATTGAAAAATCTTCATTATAGACAAATTATTATTATGCTGCTTTATTTGCTAACCAAAAATAATTAGCTGAACTTCTTGTTCTTTTCCCTCTTATGTCCCGATGGGTATTTTTCACGATTCCAAAATATGATAATCAGTGACCTGTCGTGTGTGCTTATAATACGAAAATTTGAGAGTTTTTCACATCAGGTGATGAAGACTTTACTTCAGAAGGTGGAATTCACATGAGTTTTCAACGAGTCATGTAATTCATCAATCAGTTTATGAAGTTTCAAACATAAAAATTCACAGTAGCCATAAAATTTTTTGGCGTAAAACGTGTTTACAATGAAAAGAGATAAAAATTATTGTCCACACGGAAATCATAAGAAATAGCTAGACACATGTCTTCACTCTTAATTTTATTTAACACGATAATAGTTGGTCGATATAGCAAATACTTACGTTTCTGACATCGTCTCCGTGGTCATTTGAGATGACTATTGATCGTTTCTAAAAGAAATCATATTAGTATTTATACAATCATGTTTTAAGTCACATATGTTCAACTGAATTATTTCTTTTAGTTTCTTCAGAAGTTATAGCAAGTTTTTAGTGGTATAAACAAAGTTTAACTTAAATGACTAAATTCTTCAATACATTTTTGGGCTACATTACAATGCAACGAATTTTTTCAAGACAGAAATGCTATCTTTAATGACAGCATTAACAGAGTACTTCAGTTATTCTTAACAAACCAGACCTTTGCTTTAACTCTGGCAGAGGAGGAATACCTGAAGGCTTTAAGCCTCCAGGTCACAGTCAGAGATAACCATTTTAGTTGGCTGCATTACTGGACAGTCATTTCATACCAGAGTTTTGTAAGTATGGAGGTGTAGCACCTAATATTTTAAGTGTCTGTATTTATAGGAGACCCAGACATTTTCTGCTTAAGTTTCCGCCAGGCGTCTATTCACAAAGTGAAAAAAGCAGTGGGCGAAATCATGTTGGTAGATATTTCGAAACATCATATTAATTGTCTTCTTCTTAGGTTGTTAGTGATTATCACCAACCATGTTTTCGACTCTCACTTTAGTACTTAGAATAGTTAATTATGGTAAAATAGGTACCATCTAAATTCACTTCAATGCCACTAAGGCGACTTTGGAGTGCTAATGATAAAATCATGTTTTAGAAGTACCGGAACATGCTGTGCAACGGTATGCTATGTCCTTATTTACACACGGTCTTTGAAAGTTGAAGATATAAAAGGGCTAGTCGTCTTTAACCATATGTATTTGCATTCTATTTCTTGTGTTAGGTGGTATTATACACTCATTAATACTTGTGCTAGGCGAGGAGTGTCATCTTTAGAGAGAACGATAGTCTATGGGATGGCTAACATAGATAGTTTAAGATGGACGCTAGGATACTTGTTACTCATGTCAAGCTAATGCATTCGTCTACGAGCAGCGTTAGCTGACAAAAGAGCGGTGTGGAAAAGAGCTAGTAGTGGTCAAATCATATTATGGAGTCAATTCATAAAGTCTCTGACTGTTGGTTTGAGTCATGTAATCAGATGCTAAATATCTGGTTAGTGTCGCTAAGATGTGATATATCACACAACAGTAAGTCGAAAGACATTATCTATGTCCGTAAGGATGGTTTCAAATTAAGGGGCAAGAGAGGGAATTATTTCTCATTTTGAAAGCAAGTGGGTCAAAATAACTTCACTGTATCACATATACTTTTCAAGTACTTTGACAGTGTTTTATGTTTACACATGATTCAGTGGTAAAACGCATAGATTTTTTAACCTTTTAATAATCGTTCTGCAGTCTTAGGAACATCTCGGGCATTTGGAAATGCGTTCGTATCATAGAAATAAATAATAATATTTGTCCATAGTTGCTTATTATTATCTGGATCTCTGAAAAACTCAAATACACTCAATCATCCAAAGAGGCAGAAAGTTTCACTTCTCATTGCTGGTGACACGTATTAGTCATAACAAAAAATACCTCTCAGCTCCGTATTTTTTATTCAGAATTGTCCAAGTACGTTGATAAGAACTGCAGTTGCTATCTAAAAACTTTTTTCTAGGATGAAGAGAATTTCCACTGTATTAGAACGTATTACCGCCGTGCTGTTTCATGTTATTAAGCTAAAATAGACATATTTCAATGGTTTATGTCGATAAAAATATTAATGTCTTTGGATAATGTATCGTTGGATCATTCATAAACAAATATATTATCAATTGTTCAAGTACAAATCGAGTTGAAATAGATGAATGAAGACACGAAGGTCTAATTTTGGATGAAAGTGAACACGGTAACTTACTGTTGTTAGTGGGCGATAACTTGTACGAAATAATTTTGACCTTGAGATCCCTATAAATCCAGCGCTGAAACAGGCTACTTGGTTCGAACAAAATAAAATTGAAACAGTTTACATGTTTTGCGGTTGCATGTGAGGTTGAAATATTTTCATAAACGAAAAGATATGGGATATGTCTAACCATAATTACACTCCTGATCGCAGATGATACTGTACTTATAAGACTGGTTAATGAAACTTTTGTTTGCTGCTACAGCGACTGTGAAGCCTTTGGGATTATAGTCTCATGTGTCATGATTCAGGGTCTTCCTCTGAACTTCCAGATCCTTGGAGCTGTAGAGCAGCTTCTAAGAGGTGTGATTTAAGATAGTAAAAACTCACCTTTCGAAGCCTTGTAAAAGGGAAGTACGCGTATTCTTTCTATCACAAGCTACTTTCGCAAATGCCGTGCCGTATTTTGAGTGGAAATAAAAAGATTAGACCACGCGCACACTTGTGAGTTCTTGTAAATAGTCATTTTTAGCACAACGGCCATTTGTGTGCTTTTGTTATGTTTTTGTATCCACAACTTCTATAGTATTTGTTCCGCGTAGGCCAAAGGTAAAGCAAAAGAACGCAATTGATCGTCTAAATTACGAGATATATTTCGGGAACAAATACGGAGTGCGAGATGTTTGCTTACGTGGCTAGAGATCATGCAGTAAAGAACGAACGTCGCACGATGGAGTTCCGAAATGCGTGGATGCTTGACTGGAAGCCTCCAGCTAAACAAGTTGACTTAAACAGTGGGGGTCATCATCCAATGTCCCATGATGAATGGTGTGGCCAGTGATTTTGGAGAATTATTTACCGCTACAGCTCACTCCTTCGCTAATGGGGTTGTGAGGACCTTCAGGCATAACCAGCCGGAAGTAAAAAACCGAATATTTTTGTGTCGGTAAAAACTCTTCCGATCGGGTTGATGTAATGCCTACTAGTCGTCCATCTATGCTAATAGGGTGTCTGTACATTGCTTCGATGCTGTTTGTTCGTTGTATCTGCTTCGCTTGCTTCTGGTCCAATGCCCATTGCACCTGGAAAAGAATGGTAAGAACCTTGTTGAGGAAGATGCACCAAAAATAACGTTTGAAAAATGACACGTATCTACCATACAGTTAAATAATGCGAAAAAATAAAACATCCATAAAAAGAAAACATCTAATTTTTTAGTGGATGTAACATTTACAGCTGAAGAAAAGTTGTTGCTTGTGTTGCGGTATGCAATACAAAAGAGTGATGCGTCTGCGAGAAAAAAATCAGTACCACAAATGAATAAGAGTTGGGTGAATCGCTACACCTAGTTATGTGACATAAGTGTGGAGATGTTCTGGGAATCTCACGTTTCGTCGCGAACGCGTCTTCTTTGAGGACCCGGCAGAAGGTTCGCTGTGCTAGTGATTTCTTCGAGTACTAATGCATATTCGGTTGCTTGTGTATTATTAAGAATGCTCAGCTCTGGGTTAATTGGATTGCCTTTTAAGTAGGTCTGCTTCAGATAGTTGATACTGACGGTGTCTTCGCGGCCCTTTTTGACTAAGACGAAGAATCTATCCGCACGTTTAATTAATTTTTGTGCTCCGTCGTATGGGGCTTCCAGAGGTCGACGCACAGATTCATGACGAACAAATACATGTGAAGAAGTTTCCATACACGGTTAAAAAACGACATCAATGGAATGTAGGTGAAGGGGAGCAGGTTTAACTGAACTTATCGCGTTTGTAAGCCTGCTGACGTTTGAGGCGTGATCTACCGCTGGTGAGAAGCTAGAGGAAGAAACAATCTCACTTGGCAGTCGTAGTGTTGTGCCATGTACTAGCTCGGCAGCAGTACAACCTGCATCAAATTTCAAGGCGTTTCATATCCCTAGGAGAACTAAAAGTAGTGATCCAGTCCAATGGGTATTGTTTGCAGCTGATAACCCAACCTTCAACTGTCTGTGTAGACGTTCTACCACACCATTAGCTTGAGGATGGCATGCTGTTATTCTAAAATGCATAAAATCTATGATTTTAGTCAGGGTGAAGAAGAGGCCACTTTCTAATTGCCACCCGCGATCTGTTGCTATGGAGGATGGGCATTCAGATTTTGTGATTCGACAAAGACGCGTGCGACTTTTTCAGCAGATACATCCTAGATGAGTACTGCTTCAGGTCATCGTGTGGAACGGTCGATACAGGTTAGGTATATCCATGAGATTCTGGAAGGGATCCGACAAATCTATATGAGCGTGCTCGAAACGGGCGTCAGGGATGAGAAAGGTGCCAAGAGGGGTTTCGATGTGTCTGACTACCATGAGCATATGGCATGCCAAGCACGTGTGCCCATTCTGGTACTTCCTTATTAATACCAGGCCAACAAAACCGACTAGTTATGAGCTTGACAGTAGTTCGAATACCTGGGTGGGATAAGCCATGCAACGTATTGAAGACGTTACGGGTGAGGAGTACTCGCCTGGTTGTTACATCGAATATTGTCTCTTCCCATACCTAACTGTTTGTCAGCCAATTGCATAGTTGTGCTCAACAACTCGTGTTGAAGCCCGGTATCTTCTTTTTGAAGACGAGCCAGTTTCACAAGGTCTAGGCCGTCTTTTAGGGTTAGGGAGCAAATGCGTGTCAAGTCATCTGCTACAGTGTTGTTCATTCTGGATATATGGCGAATATCTGAAGTAAACTATGAAGCGTAGTCCAGTTGTCGTGATTCTCTATGTGAACACTTATCTTAAGTTGAGTTTTGTCCTGTCATGTATAAACACCTTTCTAAGCCAGGGACAAACAAAACATGTACGGAAAAGAGTTAAAAGTGTGGTAGATATGATTGAAAAGCAGGATTGGGAGCGCAAACTCCTGTAGTGGGAAATTTCTACACTGTAACGTGGCTTCCGTATAAGTCATGCGTGTTTGGTGAATTTTCAAAAAATTGTTGCGATTGCATTCCCTTAAGTTACAGAGTGAGCTCGTTCACCATGAATCAATATAATCCCGCTTAAAATCCCTTTACCTGTGGTTCGACATGAAGAGTCATGTCTTGTAGATGAAATGTACGAAGTATTATCCCAGTAAATAAGGAATATAAAAGTAATGAGGAGTGTCCATAGCACACGGCCATACTTCTCTGTATTCCTTGCATTTCGAATGGAACAAAGTCCTTCGGGCACTTAAGTTTGAATTATGTTGGCACTGTTTTTACGGCATGGGATCACAGACACACACCCACTTCAGTCGCATGAATAATCAGCTCAGAAGTTAGGAAAACTTGGCCAGTCTATCTTGTTCACCTCAACGCGACCAATCATCACATGTGTCAATGGAGTTGAAGATTGAACGATCAATTCTTGGTTGTTTGCTCAAAATCAACTTCCCCGATTTTCGCGGAGGCATCAATACGACAGTCATCGTCTCGTCGGTCGCTGTTCAGAAAGAAGAGTGAAACATCGTCAGAAGTAATATAATGATTTATTATTGTAATATTTGTTTACAGACCTCAGTTCGTTTATTCCTTTTATATGTTGGTGTAACAATAAAGAAATAACAAGCGGCAGATCGGTGTATTGGTTTTTGCGTCCGTTATTACTAAGCGTTTCTGAAACTCAAAGGAACAGCGTGGGCCCGAGCGTAGCGAGAGCTGGGCATTAACGGTTTATGAGACGAGATTGACAGTTTCTGACGATAGAAACAGATCTGGCGGATTCAAACAGTTGGTGAAAGTTTGGATAGTCGCCGTTCATTTTTCCTGGTGCCGGTCAAGTCCTCTTTGAACAAGCAATATCTGGAACTTTTTTGGAATTGGGTCAAGTTCAACAATGCCTGGGTCAAAGGTTTGGAAGACCTTCGATGATTGCAGGGAAATTATTCGAGGCTGTTAAGGGTAATGGTGGTCAATTACAGGATGACTCCAGGCACTCACTGAGTTTTTAGATAATTTGCTAATTTACAAGAATGGAATGATTTCGATGAATCGCACGAGTGACCTCAACTCGAGTTTTATACTAGAAGTAATATCAAGACGTCTACCTACTCGACTGCAAAGGAAGTGGGTGAAGATAAGCTCCCGTATGGAGGATGAGGGTATCGAGCCAAAGTTTGATGATATCCTGAAACTGGTAAATACTAGTGTCAATCAATCTACGAGCAAGTTCGCCAGTCTGTTACATCTCACCCGTAGGATAGAGCAGTCTGAGGGTAAAATGCAATCATTGATGACGAAAGGGACTCAGAGAGGTGGATATCGAGAAGGCTCCATGATGTCTAGTGATGCATATAGACCTAGTGAGTGTAACAGGTTTCGTAGTACATCCTCAACAGATAAGTTACAAGATGCAAGACAAACACGGTTGTGGTTTACACGTGTGCAAGAGGTGCATACAGAAGTGAACTGTGAACCAGTGAGCAAGTTTAGTGATAAGCTAAATGTAAACTCCAGGTCTGACTCCGAATTGTGTGACGATAACGGTGCTGTGAAGAAGTCTGTAGTTGCAACTGGTAAGCCATTGTTGAATAGAGTGTCACAGAATAGAGTTACTGCTTCAGGGTGCAGTTCTGACTCCAAAAGTTTACAAGGTATTTCTAGTCAGAGTGAGGATATAAAACCTTTAATGATTTGTGAGGAGGAACCAAAATTGTCTACTTCTGTTATTAAAGAGTTTGAAAATGATGAACTTGACGGTAAATTGAATATTTGTGGTAATGATCAGGATAGTGCGCATTTGTCTTTGGTTGATCATGATGAGATGAGGGATATGCCTACGACTGCTAAGTTGAACAAAGTTTCTGTACAACTTGAACGTGAAGTAGAAATAAATGCGGATGCAGTTGCAGAAGTTATGGATATTTGTGAGACCGTCAGTGTGAGTGATCAGCATGTAGCCCACCTATCATCAGATGCTAGTGCTAAACCTGAGCTGATAGAAGGAAGTTAGCAAATGAACTCTGCGACGATTTTCCAACCTAGGGCGTCAACCTGAGAAGGGTTGTAGGCGTACTGGTGTAAGTCCTACAGTTCTTCAAAGGGTAGCGCATCAATGAGCAGTCCAATGTGCTTGGTGTATGATCTTGTACATATGTTCATATTGTATATACTGAATTGATATCATCTGTCATCTAGCTGTTGGTAATTCTGTTTGTGTCCGGACGACTTCCACTTGGA